GATCGCCATTGTCGACCGATCTCTCCAACACAGATCGCGATTTGCAAGTTCCGAGACATCCAACGGATTTAAAGCTTTTGCGACGAGATTAAAGGTTACCCAGAGGTTAAGGGTCGAACAGTATAGAACCAAGTGCTACCCTCACTACATTAATTCAACACGACTCTCTTCCTCTCTCTCTACCTTGGATACTGTGCATAGTACGGTACAACCATAACACAGCGTACCGAGCGTTATTTTATTTCGTTTAACATTCTCAAATGATAAATCTAAAATGCGTTTTTACGCTTTAACCGCCCGCTTAATAAATTGTATCCTCGTAACGATGATGAGAGAGAATCTTTCCGTCATTTCGAGCATGAAAGCGTTCCTCCAGCTTCTCTAACGTCCTCTTCTGTCTGCTCTTTTTTTATTTCGATAATTAAATCTCTCTTCTGCATTGTCTGCGTTCAAAGCTTTCAACCTGTTTTGTCTGTTAAAGTAATAATAAAAGCCAAGTACTTTTAATTTATATAATATACAAAAAACCAAAATAAAGAATTTTCTTGATAGTACTTATTACCATGTACTTTTACGTTCACTGGTGATGATCATTTTGGAAATAATCGAGATGCATTAATCTTTACATAAATATTAGCAAAAGATTTCTCGCTATCAAAATACACATCTTGATACGCAAATAAGTTCCTCTTTTACTTGTGCATCGAAAAATTCAACGATTGAGTACAGAAAAATTAGATTTAATTTTCTAAGAATGCATACAGCATGTTTCAAACTAACACATAAATAAAATAACGTGATAACAAATTATGTCACGTTTGATACAGCGAACGAAATTTATCGCTCGTACCATACATTATACGAAACATTGCATCTGGTTTTCCCGCGTGCATGTTCATCCCGATAATCGCGTCGCGTCACGTCGCTTATCCCACGAAAGCTACCGCAATCTGGATCAAAGCCGTTGCAAGAACGTGCAGACCGATTCGAGAAGTGATCCTTCTTACCGAATTGACGGGCGAACGTATGAGATTTCCTCGCCTGGCTGTATTCTTCTATCCCAATCATGTTCAACATTCGTCTCTTTTTTCCCAACGGCGGGAATGAAAGCGCGATCCGGTCAGAATTCCAGGGGAAAAAAACCGAGTTCATTGCGACCGATGATTCGTATCCACGTTTTATCCAGTCGCGGATTGCCTTTGCGAAAATCGGGGCCGATCTAATTTTGTACGCGCGACCCCGACGAGGAAGCTCTATCTTCTATGGAATTGATGGCACGATCTCGTATCTGGCTGATCTCTATCCTCGCCTGGCTCCGAGTGCGAATTCCGACTGGCGCATTTCTCGATCGTTAAGTGTCGGAAAACAGAATTACGAGGTCTGGGAATATTTTTCAAGTACTCGCGCGACAACGCTCTTTCAACGACCCTCCGTTGGTGGTCGTGTTAAGTTACTGCGCACATTAATCTGTTCTCTCTTAAAATTTATCACTTATTTGATATTTTAATGTCTTAATAGAATAGAGAGGCGGAGGAGGGGGAGGGCTATTCCATCAGTTTCAATTTAAATAAATATAGAAAAATTTATGATGGTAAACAATATCTCTTTGCAGTGACGTGCTTACAACTTTATAAATTGACAATTTAATAATTATTTTTTTATGCTAATAAGAATCTTTTATAAGAATATTAATAATCAGATGTTAATGAGAATCTTAAAATTTGCGAATAATTTATGGCGAAAAATATTACCTCAGGGTTTGAACCTGAAACTCCTGATTTTCTGGGATGAGCGTCATCTCGATTCGATGAATATTATCGCAAGAGATGGATAAAAAAGTCCCGCTTTGCCTTATAATTGCATCTTAGTATAATTGAATAATTACGCTAAAAATAAAGACGACATAAATGTCACGTTGGCATTATACAAGAATCGTGTTCTTCTTCATGAATCGTTTTAAGAGCCTTCTGTTCGGCGAAGAATATACTTCTTCGGCAGCGAAAGATAAATTGTCTTACGTATCGCTTTGCTCGTTTTAAATTCGGTATGATGCATTCCATCCATGAGGATTCCTTTTTCCGCTTTAACTTTAGCTTTTCTTGCCGCAGTTCTTAACTATGACGTTCGGATAAAAACGCGAGACACGAAAATGGCTATAAAATGGAATTTGCTATGGAAGCATGGGAGAAACTCGGCTTCTCCCTCTCCGCTTTTGTTCTCGCGAAGTACCCCCCACCTCCTCGCAATTACACTCGCGCAAAATACGCTGACTATTATTCCGTGATAAAGCAAACGTGTTTTCTCGAGTGTCATCCCGCGAACATTATTTCGCAACGTATATAGCATCCTTTCCCTCTGCAAAATATCATTAATTTTGTTTGCGAGAGCACTCGTAAAAATCTGCGTATTTCACGCAGGAGAGAAAGTGAGAGGGAGAGACAGAGAGAGAGCGCCGTTTTATAACCAGACCCAGTGATTTCTCGGCGGGAAAACTCTGAAAATTTCTGTCGTCATAACATGCATTTGCACACAACATGTTATTTATACAAATTTTTAGAGCGATCGTAAAACACGTACCTATGTATTGTATAATATATATTATATAATCGATGAAAATGTTAATATCCACGCCGTGCTCGTTATGCGTCGAGTTTCTAATGATTTACCCGCGTTTGAGAATTCCGCGTGACGCTCATCGATAATTGTAGCAATTATAATTAGAACGTTCCCCTAAATTTGTCCTCCCCGAATATAACGCCGTTTGCGGCGCGGGACGGATAACTGGTGGCGTGGGCCGGATAAAATCCATTTTGCGTAATCCGTCATGTCCGCATTTATCCGTCATTAATTCAGCTGCGATTTTAATTGACAGAACAGCTACTACGTTCGCTTGCCCGCGGCTTGCACAGTGTTTATATTATCGATTTTGCAGTACGTCCACCGACCAACCGACCAGGCGATGAGCGCGGCTCACTCGCGTCTATCTACTCGCGATTGATGCAATGATAACTACGTCTGTCTGCGTCGATAAACCGGAGAATGTGGATCGTTAAAGCGAGGTAAGCGAGATTGTACATGAAATTTCCGAAAATTCGGGTAGCATCAGATTGTAATATAATCATGCCCGAAACAATACATGAACCATTCAAAAATTCATTTTAAGGCATTTTAAGATTTAGATGTATAATGAAAATTTTTCAGACCTCTCGTGTAGAATCTTTTATTTAATAATATTCTCTGTCTAGGGAAATTTTCTCTTGCTAAAACTGCTTTTATATACATAAACCTCGAACTATCTTTCAAAGATATGCGATTTTAATTTAAAATTATTTTTTCTCCTATCTTTAGATTTTAATTAACAAAGCACAAAAATGTTTTAATAAACATTCGAGAATTAATAGAGATTTCGAAAATATTAAACAACAAAATTTTTCCTATATGTACATCTATAAGTAAATTCATCTTTTTGAAAATCTAATAGATCATCTTTTTATGACCAAGTATATTATGGCAATTATATTTTGTTAATCCTGTCGATCGCCATCGACTAGCGAATTACCTTCATTATTATATCGCCGTGGGAGATTTTACGATATTTTCCTCTGGTATATAATGCCGGTTTAATGAGCACAGCATCGCACGTGTATCACGTACAGGATGGCCCGAACACTTAATACGAAATGATCGATCAGCCGCTCCGTATTCTTTACCATTCGGAAAATATTGTAATATGAAAACGATAAGTTGGAAGATCGCCCGCGCTTGTTACACACAGCATGTATTTTTCAAATTTGGCCTCATTTCGTCAAACGAACGATGGATTCATTAAGTTCTCTCTTCTCTTTTTCTCTTTACCAGGAATTCAATACTTTTTGGCAAAATGAAAGTGCAATGTCCCATGCGTAATGCTTATGACAATCTTTCCGCATTTGCAAACTCGTATTCACAGCACGAGAGCAGCACTTAAAATACGAGAACAAATATATCGAGAACAAATGCGTATCAACGACGAACTTTAGAATCCATTTGGCGCGACTCAACGTGCCCATCCTGATCTCCCGAAATTTATAAACTTTCCGTAATCGGGCGAACATCGGGCGGACGGTACTGAAAGTTCTTTATCACGCAATTGAAATCTCTTTTTTGATTTTAAATAACATACTTTTCGCGTAAAGTTAATGGCATTTAAAAATTCAAGACTCGCATTCGCCGCGCTTAATCCACCTCATCGGTCGGCGACCGGAGAGTTAATACCGCTCTCAAAAGCGCCGCATTAAATGTTTATTGTTCGTCTACTCAAAGGCCACTTCGCCTAGTCGTACGGCTAGTTTCACGAGGTTAACCTAGCGGGAAGCCAACGACGGCACCACAGAGAAGGTACGTAGGCTAAAACCGGAGTCTAGTTTCGTTCGGTAGTAGCCGTCCGTCTCGGCAAGTGCCCATCCCTTCTGAATATTTTAGGAAGTACACGCGCGCGCGTATCCCACCTCATCCCTCGCTACATTATATCGGGCTCGAAGCCTCCGGTGGTCCTAGGCGAGCGTGTGCATCCCGGAGTAAAGATACACCCGCGATTAAATTCGTATGTGCGTCTAGGGAAACTGTGACTCGAGAAAATTATACATATAGAGAGCAGAATCAGAAAACACGGCATCAAAGAGCGTGTTGCAAAATCTACAAATTCGCAGATTTCCTCGTGCTGATATATCCATCTAGAAAATTCAATATCTGTTTTTTTTTTTTTATAGCTCAACTAGTATATATTTTTGGAACTCAAAGAGATAGATATATGTTTGACATTTGGCAAAAGCGAGAGAGTTTAATGCAATCTAATAGAAATAAAAAAAAAGAAACCTTTCAATTGCAGGGTAAAATAATTATTATGATTCCATTCGCGATAGTTCGGAATTTTTTGCGTCTACTTTTTTTATATATACGTATATAACGACTTCTCACATTTCTAAAATAAAGATTCTACAAATTGAGACTGGAATGCTTACATTAGTTTATTCGGCAAATCATGTTCGGCGACCAGTCGCAGATCCTCCAGCGCAAAATAGTACTCTTTGAGGGCCATAAAGATCTCAGCTCTTCCCAGCAGCGCCAGAGACAACGAAAGACCCTGATCAACCGTCTTGTTTCTACCTGCGACAGATATTGTCGATATCGTATGATTTGGAAAAATATCGCTACTCGGCTTTGAGAACCGTTTATCGATTACTGTCGCGAACGCGAACAATTTATCGACACAAAGCCAATGAAGCCATGAAAACATAAGCTTTTCGACCGACTGACGTATGTTATCAGGACAGGATGCGCGCGGTGAGTAAGAATAAGTATTTATTCCACTTGTTATACGCGCGCGCGCATGCTGATCTGGCGGGATGCCAGAGTAAATGCAATCGGCTTGTCAACGCATATTTTAAATCTATAAATTCATATAGGAGTATTAAAATATTCATTTAATACAAGAAAGAATAGGACGTGGAACTTGTATGTAGTATAGAATATGTGTGTGTGTGTCAACAAATAACCTTTAATTCCCCAACATAAATTATTGCTTTAATATCTAAATTAATTAGCAATTAATAATTAAATCAAATAAATAGCAATTACATTATATTTGTGTGGTAAATAATAATTATGTACGATTTAATTAAACATTCGTAGTGTCGCATCCTAATTATTGGAACAATATAAGTGTTATTATTTATTTTATGTGTGTTAGCACAAAATTAAAAATAAATTCAACGATCGTTGATTATAGCTATTCGCCTTAGTAATCTATCAATCTAATCGCGTCAATCTAGTGCACTTGATAATAAATAATTCATACTGTGAAACGTCAATTATCTGGATAAAAGGGATAGTAATATATATCTAGAAGTTTAAATAAAAAAATGTAAACGAGATATTAAGGATAGTACCTATAACTAATGTAACAAATGACATAAGCAACAAGATATGCACTTAATATATCATTAAATTCATAATGGCAAATTATACTCTATTTGAGTCATTAATTATTTCTACAGATCGCCACTGCTCTTACTCAATATTTCGTTAATTCAACTAAAACAATGGAGCTAAACAATTTAATTTAAAAAAATATATTAAACTTAACTTAAATTTAGTTTATTATTCACTAAGTGCATATATTAACGTGGACGTTGTTTACTTTGAAACTAACTACAGAAATAAATTAATTTTAACACACACAAATACACAAACAGGTAACAAAACGTTATTTAACTCTAGGAAGATTATTCTTGCTCCTTTGATAACCAACAGTGTATACGTTATAAATTTGTCTCGGAATAATGGATTTTCTACCACATTTGTAGTGACCTGGTTGAGGGGCGCGCAAGACAGCCTGACTGAACAGCAAAAGGGCCTTGTCGTGCTCGCCGACGGCGGCGAGCTGGTATCCTTCGAGTCGCCTGCGCTTGGAGATCTCTGCATCCTTGTCTCTGAAAAGGAGCTTCACCTTTGCGAGCGTGTCAGTCACGACGTCTTTTATTTTTGCGTCAGTAAAGATCGCCCTCACTCGTCCTTCGTTGTCATCGATCCGGCCGAATGTCCTCGACGTCCAGGTATCGCCCGCGGTTTGCATCACGTGCCCGCTAAAATCGTGGAAGAATCCCTTCCTGCCGGAGCGGAGGGTCTCCGACGAGCAGAGAGTCCTGTAAAATTCATCCTGATCCTGCATTCTTGCGTACGGAAAGGACAGACGGCGTGCCGCCGTGTCCCGTGGAAGTCCTTTGTGTCCCGCGTTCTTCCTTCTCCTCGATTCTCCCGTACTTCGTTAACGAGATCCTGTGTATGCGAGTGAATCGCCTTTAGACTGGCTGAAATACGGCTCGTTCGTTTTTATATCACGGATTAGTGTACCCACTTAGTGTGTCACGATTGCATCGCTTACATCAACAACTTCTTTTTCCCTCCACTCTATTCTATTTTATTTTTAAGATAACATTGTATATATTGTATAATATATTGTATATAGTTACATATATATTTTTTTCTGAAAAGTTATTGCCTCTCTTTGACCTGTCTTTTTTTTAGACGTTCTTTTTATACGCGCGAGAGAAGAATTTATCTTTTAAGATTTTTATCTTAATTTACCTCTCAGTTATTACGCTTTTATTTGGTATCCCAGTTTTTCTTAATACTTTCCAGCTAATTATATTTTGATTAAATTTTCTTGCATATTTCTACTTTTGTGAGAGGCGAATTTCTCCGAAATACAATCAATTTCCTTCTTTGTTTCGTTGCTTCTTTACGCGCTGCAGTTGTCGATGTATCGACTAGAAGTTCGCCTCGTTACTCTCGATGTTGCATCGTTCCCCTCGACCGATCCTTTTGAATATTACAGAAGCTACGTGTTTTGGCATTTCGTATCTGCCGTCGGATGCGCACACGATTCCGTACTCCATTCCGCAAACTCTTGGATTTAAGAAAAACAGTTGGATGACGTAATTTACTGGGAGCAACGACCAGAACGTACGGGGTGTTCCAAAACTGACGATAAATATTTTAAAGACAGATTCTTTGTAACATTTTAAGACAAAAAGTTTAATGCAAACATGCTGAGCCTATGATAGTTTTCAAATGGAAAGAGTTAAAAAAAAAAGACAGGGTTAGAATTTTGTGCGTTTAGGAATGGCAAGATAGTCAGTGTGTAAAGGTGTTTCATGCTTTTGACAATAAAAAAAATTCAGCATCTCCACATTGACCATTTTGCTAAAGACTCTCTAAGAGATGAGAAATCGTATTCGACTTTTCATCTTAAAACGTTACCAAGAGCCTGTCTTTAAAATATTTATCGTCAATTTTAGGATTGTATACAGAAACTGTATATCGATATTATATTGGAGCATTTCTCATTATAGATTCACGCGTAATAATTTTATATGCATTTTAACAAGCTGATTTCGTGCGGAAAAACCGTCAGAAACGCGCGAGTCCGACAAAAGTCGTTTCATTATACTGAATCATAAAAAGCCGAGGACCGGACGCGCAGATTCCTATTCTCTCATCTCGAGTCCGCGGAATTAAACGACTCTATTCGGCCGTGAGAAATAGCCACTCGGGGATTCTCTATCAAGAAGCAGCGAGACCCGAATTTAAAAGGACTTCTTCCTTCGTCAGGCAAGTCCTCCTTCGCAAATTGGTCGCTGCTAGAATATCGGATGAACACCGTATTCTTTACGATTCTTTTTCTTCGATTTATCACTTCTCTTTACATTTGCGACAAACAAAAGCAAACGACAATGATTGTATCAAAGTTATTCTACCACGTTTTTAGAATTTAATCGTGTCGATAAATCAAAATTTGAATATATGTACATCTATTCGCGATAATATATGGGCAGTTTTTTGTTTTCGTAGCACCGAAACTTTTACTCGTCGAAATTACATCGGTTTTTATTCCCGCTTTAAATACCGTCCAATGACTGAACACTTAGCTAAAGTTCACTCAATCGCAGCTCGTTTGACTGCCTTTTACACAAACTTTTCACTTCTCCTCTTCAATTATTCTGAAACGGCATCCCGATTTCTTTTTGATTTCCCTCTTCGCTGGTTTGCAGTTTTGGAGCACCGCGGCCGAGGGATACCCGAGCGCATACGGAATGACTGAAACGGATTACTGAAGGCCCACCGTCCTCTTTTCTTTGTCCACCCGGCGAGTAAAACTTTAAAGATCCTCGACCACTCTCATTCACTGTGAAAACCGCAGTACCAGGGGATTCCTCACGTCGCCCGCACCGGCTCGATGCTTTATGAGGGGTTTACTTTATAGACACGAACGAGGTATTAGGACGGAAGACCGGTATTAGACTGAAGACGCCGCTAGAATGCGGACGAAAGGTAGGGACAAATATATGTGCGTAAATACGGTGAGAGGAACAAGGATAGAAAGCGTTTAAGAAGCCTTCCTCTCCTTTTACTCTTTCGCTCTTTCTCTCTTACTACGTCTAGAGCAGCTAGAGAAATAATTTTAGACATGTTCTATTTTGATCGTAAACGGCCTGTGAGGCGGTCATTTCTCACCGCAGAGTCCTCTGGCTTCGTTCATTCGCAAGCGCCAAGTAATCGTGAAACGCCAAGAAAAATTTCTCGTCGATAACGACATTCTCGATCCTGACATCGTCTGATCCCCTCCCCCGCCTCCACGTCGCTTCCTTTTTTCAACGTCGTCGTTCCGTGCGGTCTTACTTCGACGTCGCCTCTTGAGTCGACGCAGAAATCCTACCCCCGATATTCGCCCCCGTCACTGTCCGTTCCACCACCATAGAGTCCCATTATAGCCCAAGAAAATTTATCGCCGAACGTCCTTGATCTCCCTCGCCGCCCTCTTCCACCTCACCTGCTCGTGGCGGAAAATACCTGGATTCAAGTAACTCGTAAATCGAACTAGCCGTGTAATAAAGTCGTACCGTGACGTTCTCCGTTCTTTCGGAGTTTCCGCACCTTGCGACTTTTTGCTATTGTGCGCCGAGCGAAATCTTCGAGCTTGCGCGAGACGTTTTCTTACGTGACTTTTCCCTCGGCCACTTAATGACGAAGTAGATCCGACATCGTCTCGGTGATAAATCTTTCCGCATTTTCGTATAAACTATGAAATTGTATAATTGTGCGAATAATTGGTACCTTGATTTCTTGTTCTTATATTAGAACCATACAGACTCGAGCTATATTTATCTGAAATTTTGTTTTAAGAAATGCATAAAATTTCTTAAATTGAAAATTTATATTTTTAGAATATCTTTAACATACTTTTTTAATTTTCTTAAAACTTTTCTTAACCTTTTTTAAATTAATGATTTGAAATATTTATTGTTATTAATTATGACTGTAAAATATATTTTTTATAGAGAACTTATCTGAGAACAGAAGACTTACGACTAGAAAATAGAGCTGAAAAGGGACACTCTATACGTAATTTTTCAATTATAGTTTCTTTGTAACTTTTTTAAGTGCAATATTAGCAAACCCTGCTTAAAGTATTTTAAGCACATTTTTAAACGAAGTCTGTCAGGTCGTCTGATCCTAGAGAATTTGTACACCGCAGAAACGTTCCTCATCCTTGAAAAATAAAGTATCGATGCTGCTCCTCTGATGAAATATCGACACTTGACTTTTAGGAGTAAATGGAACCTTTCGCGCGATACCGTCATATGAAATTCCCGAAGGACCGTCGGCAGTTGTATCGATTTAACGTCCGACCACGTATGCCCCGTTAGTTGTCATATGCGTGTCAGGTGCTCACCTTATCTATTCGCAATCCCGCTCATATTCTTCTTCGGAACGTATGAATTTTTCAGTACTGTCGTCGCAAGATTCTTCTCTCGTCCTGCTACGAGAGGAGTAGTAAAAATTCTCCGCGGGGGGAGGCGGAATGCTTGGCGCGCCTGTATTAAATTATTATGACCCAAGATTTGCCGTTTCTGCCCGCGTTTTACTTCGTAATCGCGGAATCTTCGATCAATTTGTACTTTTGCGTCCCGCAAAGGAATGTGACTGCGGTTTTCATTTCCTCCTCAGAAACCGATCGTAAACTGAGCAACAAACGAGGAATAGCATCGCATGATAAACGGCGATGCTACTGCTAATGTATTCAATTGTCAATGCACGAACAGGCTTATTGATTGAAAAAAAAGGTCTTTACTCGTGTCACGATTTCTTTACTTCCCCCTTTCAACTATATATTAAAATAAAAGATTTTTCTACCAAAGATGTTCAAATTTTTTTTAAAACGCCATTTTTAAACTCTGGAAGATTAACTGTAGACTATTACTTCTAAGAACACTACTTCAGACAAACCATGATAGATGTTAAATTCTGTGGGCCATCACTTTTTTTTTAAACACCGATTTTCGTGCAGCACGGTCGTTTCTCGTGCGTGTTTTTTTTTCCGGTAGGAAACGCTCGCTGACGGCATATCTTGCCGAGGGTTCGTGATAATCGGGTCGATTTATGAGTCAAGATGGGAAGTTATCGCGGTACTAGCAAAGCAAAACGTTGGCAGCTTTATCGGTCTCGAATTCTCTCTCGTGAACTCAATGGAACTTTAGGAAGAACGTTTGGTAGATTTAGCCGTTCGCTCAGCGTCGTTAATAATTAATACATCTATTAACTCGCGCGCTATATTTAACTACGATAACGGCAATATCGTAATCACGTGTTAAACAGAACGTTCGTATGCGATACGTGCTTCAGACGAAGCTTCGTCGTAGAGCTTCCTCTGTTACATAATTCACAAAATGTAGTTTGTAAACATAAACACAAATTTAAGATCTGCGTTTTGCAAACAGCAACTTGTATAGACTGGATGAAACATCCAAATAAGAAATTGGATATCATATGTTTGATCTACCATATTTTTCAAGACCTATTTAAAATAGAATGAGATAGATTATGTATAAGATAACATGAGATCTATGAATTTATAGAAATTTTTATCTTAAATAGATGACACGAGTCGATTATAAAATATGGCAATCCAATCGGTAGTTATTCATATGATACGTTAACTTCTAATGAGCTGCGACAACCAACCAACTGCATTGATCAACGATAGTAAAGAGTAGTATAGGAATGAATTTTGTATTTGCTTATCAGCAGAAAGCTATCCTTTCCATAAATTTCCGTGATACGGAAAATATCAGACATTATAGTATTATATGCTTCTCTAATCTGACTTAAATGAAAATGTCAACACTGTCGCAATTCAATTCATTTGCGTGCAGTTGATTTGTATACGCGTGTGTTTTGCGTGCGGTAATACTGTGATACGTTATTCTCATTTGTGTTTGTGAATGTATATGTTATGAATTATATAGAGGTAGCTAATTCGTAGCTAAGTTCTCGGTGGCCGTTTAATTCGTACAGACACCAAATGGCGGTCTTTTTTTTACCTTACCCAGCAAGCCATTTCGCGTGTTGGAGCAGAAAG